ACACATTAAACACCCAAATTCCTTATCATTTTTGCAAAGTTTCTACCTTTCATTGAATTACCTCTTATATATATTCTTTTTTTTTTTTTTGAGTTGGAATTCACTCTGTCTCTCAGGTGGGAGTGCAGTGGCATACTCACAGCCACTGCAGGCTTGAACTGCTTGGTTCAGGTGATACTTCTGCCTCATCCTTCCAAGTACTTGGAACCACAGACGCATGCCACCATGCCCAGTTAACTTTTTGATTTATTGTAGAGATGAGATCTTATCAAGTTGTCCAGGCTGGTCTCGAACCCGAGGGCTCAGGCAATCCTCTCACTTTAGCCTCCCAAAGTGCTGGGATTACAGGCATGAGCCACCATGCCCAGCCTATATATATTCTTGATTGATTAGTGATTACGCATGGCTAGACTGATGAAAAAAAAATTGCAGACCCTACTAGTTAATGACCCTAGAATGCTATATGAGACTTGTAATTAAATATGAAAGTAATGTTAAAGAGAAACTAATACATAAGGAATGCAACTTCATCTTACTGTTTACTAAGTGCTTTTAATAAAAACATACATAATTATATGTAATAATTACATTATCAGAGGCAAGAAGGCTGCCACCTACTCAATGAAGGAACACCCATGGAGTTATTAACTTAGTAAAGGTAACAGGAAACAAAGAGTAGTTAAGTGTAGCTGGGCATAAGATGTAGGGGTATGAATAGAGAAACAGAAAGGGATGTCTGCAACAAATCAGACTTAAAATATAAATTGGTTTATGTTCTCAAGACCCTTATAAAGCGGGTCAAAGTATTGAACTTGGCCTTATGGACAATGGAGAGTCAATAGCAAGGTACATGCAGATGAATGAAATGGTTCCATTTCTTTTTTAGGAAGATAGCTGAAGGCAATGTGGATAATAGATAGGAGGGGAGTCACTAGAAGGAGAAATATCAGTTAGAAGGTGATTGTCCTAAGCCTAGAAAAAGATCATGGGATTACTTTAGGCAATCATGATAATCATCAAAGAAAAAGGAGTAGATTGGTAAACGTTTCAGTGATAAAGGTCCACAGGTTTTCCAGAGTTGTTAGATGAATGAGACAAAGTGAGAAAGAATGAGGAGCAAGGGATGATTTAGGTCTCTGACCTGGGGATGTCAAATAAAAGAATAGTTTTTATTTACATGGCATGATGCAGTTTACAGACCTTTCATATCTACTGCATTCCATTGTTTCAACAGAATTGTGATGAATTAATATGTATTCAATATCAAATAGAGCTTATATAGTAATCTTACAAAAGGCTACTACTGCTAAATAATGTCTTTGTAAGATGCTGTATGTAGGTACTTTCCCCAGTCGTTTTTTATTATAAAATTATTATTTTTCTTTATAAGAGGTTGACTTGTGTTCCCCTCTTTAAAGACACTTGTGTATACTCTATTGTCCTTAATTATTCCCATGTTAGTTATTATATAGATGGCTTTTATTCAATGGGCATGTGTGTAGTAGGTTGTATCTCTGTGACTGAAAACAAAGTGATTTATAGTACTTATCAAACTTTAATGTGCATATGAATCATCCCAGGATCTTGATAAAATGAAGATTCTGATTCAGTGGGTCTTGGATGAGACTGGAAATTCTGCATTTATAACAATCTCCCAGGTGATCTCAGTGCTACTAGTCCATGGAAAACATTTTGATTAGAAGGGATTTATACTAAAGCCATAGACATTTGTGTATATACACACATACACACACCAAAGTACCTTTGCTTAAGCAGGTGTCTCATTCTGGAATGTGATTTTAAAATTGAAATCATTTTCTCATAGATTTCAAGGTGCTGCCAATTGTATACGTATTTTTTTTCAGTAGTATAACTACATTCCATTTCTGTCTCTGTTGGCAAGCAGTCCCCTAAAGGTTTCAAAACAAGTCAATAGTCTTTTTCAAGAAGAGATCTCATAAAGAACCACCTCATTGTTAGTTGTTCATTAATAGCTCTCTTACTGACAACTTGGATGCATGCCTCTTAATTTTGCAAGTATTTTAAAATTAAAATTACTTCCAAAGCATTTCAAATACTTCTCCTGGCAATAATGGCGACTTGGAAGCAGAATTCTTAACTCTTCTCCCACAGGTCTTTTCTTTTATGATTCCATAGCCTTGTGGGTTTCCTTAATAGTCCGAAATTCCACACTATAATCCATGTGTGCTGAAAGACATCTGAAATCATTGACATGCCTCAGGGTCTCAGGATTAAGTAACTATCAGCTTTGCCCTTATGTAATTGGATTCAGAGTTGATCTCCTGTTTAGATCCATCTCAGAAATTCCTCCCTCTCCTCCATCTCTCAGCTTCCTCCACTTAGAGGAATTCCATTTATGGTTCAGATCACATTTTTTTTATCTCTATGGAAGTCTTGCAGTCCTAAGAGGTGGAGAATATTGCTTTGTGTACATGACAAGGAGTGTAATCTTGAATACAGTGCTTGACTTTTATGAGTTTCTAAGCAAAAACTCAGCTACCTTGGAGAAAGAAAGGCTCATGATTGCTGTCCAGGCATTAAAAGTCTTTTTAGTTCACTATTTGCTGGGCATTTATGTAAGATATATAAAAAGTATAGGCTAATCTGTGCAAGCACACATTTCTCAAAAAATCCAGGGATCTTAGACGTGGATTACCTACAGAGTCTATCATCTAACCTCCATTTAATTCAAGCACCCGTAATTAGCATCTTTGAGATTCACTCAAGGTGCCATGAGCACTTTCAGAGGTGGGTGAGACCCAGTTGGACCGCTCCAGTTGTTAAATATCTGCAGCTGTGAACACCCATGTGCATTTCCTTTAATTGCTCTGATGTTTCAGACTATTCCCACTCACCTCCTATGCTTGTTTTATCTGTTTTTTGTCTTTCCAGTTTTACTGTTAAAGTTTTCAGTATTGCAACTAGAGCTCTCCTAAGATGATTCCACTTTAGCTGTGAGTTTAATATTCATCAAAATATGTCAAAAGCTGAACTCTGACACATATTATTGCTAAGTCTGTGTTTCATCACTATGGTTTGAATATGAGTGGCACTTCCAGTTTCAGACACCTTAATGACTTCCAATTTCAGACACCTTAATGACTTCTCACCACAGAACGTGTACCTTTTCTCTCTCATTTTTACATGCACCAGTGAAGAGTTAAACAGTATACGTTTGGCCACACATACTGCTGGTGACCCAACTGGGACTATATCCTAGGAAACTTGGCTCACCGTCCACTGTGCCATATGACTGTCATTTCTTTCTTTTTTTTTTGAGTTGGAGTCTCACTCTGTCACCCAGACTGGAGTGTAGTGGCCGCTCCCGGCCACCGCAGCCTCGACCTGCTCGGCTCCGGCAATCCTTCCGCCTCAGCCTTCTGAGAAGCCGGAATTACAGGCATGTGCTACCACGCCTGGCTGATTTTTTGATTTATTGTAGAGATGAGGTCTCGCTGCCCAGGTGGGTCTCGAACCCACGGGCTCAGGTAATCCACTCACCTCAGCCTCCCAAAGGCGTGGGATTACAGGCTGAGCCACTGAGCTTGGCTGACTGTCATTTCTTATGACTGCAAATTCACATAGTACTTTTTCATGATGAAACACGTGGGAGACAATCACATTAGCAAACTGGAAACATTAATGTATCCTAAGTTTCTAAACTGAAAAAATGTGTGTTTCCCAGGATTCCTCGAGTTACTGACTGTAAGTGGTCTCTACCTTTTGTTAATGAGGTCATGACACAGGGCATTTTTGAGGGTCCTTTCCATACAGATTGCCCTGATATTCACATTCTTGGTTATTACTTTGTCTGGCATGGGTTTTGCTCCAGTGACATCCTACTTAGAAGGCATTTCTGATTGTTGGTGGTGGCTGTTGCTGTTAAATTCTTCATGGCCTCTATGTTGTGCCCTGCAATATGCTTCCTGAGTGGCTGAGCTAGTCTCTGTTTGCAATTTCAACTATATGCTTTTAAACCTGAAACAGATGTTATCTTGGCTACTGTCATTTGCCATGAACTTCTCTGTTCACATTTTATACAAGGCAGGTAAAAAGCAAGTAATTTGCTGACCTCCCTCTGTAGAGAAGGAAAAAGAAAAAAGAAGAGAAGGTGAAGTGAGAGAAAAAGAAGATTAAATGTATGAATTAGAGAAATAAAACCACACAGAGACAGAGAGTACAACCACTTGAGCATCTATTATCCTAATATCATATGCTATAGTTTGGCTACCACTGATTTGCCTGGCATCCCTGTTGAATCATATTTGTGGCCACCCAGATTAACTATGTGAGCTGATCTCTTGATTTAATATCAGCTTGTTTTTGTTAGCTCCCATGTCATTTACTGTCTTAAAAAATATATATATACTGCTTGTTACTCAGCTGTCTGTGTTTTCAAGTACCCACGGTCTTTTTTTTTTTCTTTCTTTCTTCTTTTTGTATGAGAACCAGGAACTAGAAAGCATTAAATGAGAAAAATTAACCACTCACAGAAAAGGTGGAAACCCAGAGAAAAAGGGGTTTGTCTTTTATGGTTTGTACTTTGTAAGCTGTGGGTGTGACTCAATTTCCTCACCACCCACATAAAAGGTTGCCACCCAATCACTGTTTTCTCTGTCCAAACCCCTCCTCTTTGATTTTGGCTAAGAGAGACCCTAAGAAAGACTGCCCTTTCTGGACGTTGCAAACAGTGACATATAAAAGCTGTTAGCTGCTCCTGTAGCCAGCAGCATTCAAACCTTGCAGAGCTCTGCTCTCAGAGAGTCTGTAATAAGACACACTTCTCTTACAAGAGTTCATACTACAACTTAGCAAAGAACTTTAAATTTTTGGAAGAACAATATATTCATTTTGGCATTGTGCAGAGGTAAGCTATTTAGCTCAACAAATTTGTATTGCATGCATTGATATTAAAGTAGTTCACATTTTTTTTTTAAGAAATGAGATTGAATGACTATAATTTTTTTGTATGTGTTCTATCACTTGGTGTGCCTATAAATCTAGGATACATTAGTATCAGCACATTCTCTGTTGTTACCTGATGATGTATTTTCTTCACTCTTAAGGTGAATTTCAATGCCTAAAGTTTTTTCCATTGAAAATAAATATGCAGTAATGCATTTTGTGATTCAGGCATTTGGGGCAAATGGTTACACTCACATAGGGGCAGTAATCATACTGTTTATTTTGGTCTAGCTATAGAAAGTTCCTCTTAGGGGTCTGCCTCATAACATTAAACAGAATGAATACAAATTCTGCTATAGATGGTCTCCTAGGCTTGAATTCAACATTTGTTTGGATTTTTGGAGAAAATAAAATCAAACAATGCTCCCAAATGGTGATTTTGTCAATTCATACCCTCTGGCCCTATTTTTTTTTTCATAGACCCTAACTCTACCCTTCTACTTTAAAGCGAAGTAAACTCGGTGGCCTCTTCTTCTCCACCGCTCAAAATGATAGCAATCTCTGCCGTCAGCAGTGCGCTCCTGTTCTCCCTTCTCTGTGAAGCAAGTGCCATCGTCTTACTCAATTCCACTGACTCATCTCCGCCAACCAATAATTTCACTGATATTGAAGCAGCTCTGAAAGCACAACTAGACTCTGCGGATATCCCTAAAGCCAGGCGGAAGCGCTACATTTCGCAGAATGATATGATCGCCATTCTTGATTATCATAATCAAGTTAGGGGCAAAGTATTCCCACCTGCAGCAAACATGGAATATATGGTAAGAAGAATTATTTTTCTTTGAGTTCTGAGTGAGAAAGCTTTAAATTGTGTGTTAGAAGAAATTGAAATGACCATGAGTGTTTACGTGTCAAGGGATATAGTCTTTTACACATTTGAAGGTTCTTATATGCCTAATAATTTAAGTACTGGGCCATCATAGAATTAGAGAGAGAGAGAGAGAGAGAGAGAGAGAGAGAGAGAGAGAGAAAGGGAGAGGTATAGAGTAGACAGAAGACAGGAGAGAGGGAGATAGATAGATAGATAGATAGAGAGAGAGAGAGAGAGAGAGAGAGACTCTACAAAGACTTTCCTTCTGTGAGTTCTGTAACTATTGCTGAATTGTATCTTGTATAAGGAACATAGATCCAAAGTAGGGTAAGTTGACAGATCACATTTGGAAAGTTTACTTAAAAAAATTTCACATGGAACTTTTCTGGCTTTCTTTATCTAATAGTTGTATTTATCAACTAAAACATTTCTTGAAAATACTTCTTAAAATTATAGGCTTCATGTACTTGATTTATTCTCTGGGTAGGTGTCTTTTCCCTTTCTTGGACAAAACTCTTACTGACGCTAATCTATTTGTATTCTAAGAGAACATGCTGACTTTCTCCTCCCTGTGATTTAATGCTTTGTCGTCCAGATAACAGTGAAGCCAGTGCACTTGCACACTGTTCCAACTTGCTGTGAATACATTCTTTGCTCTCTCTTAAAAATAGACTATGTTTAAATCATTTTACTTCAGAAGTAAAAAGAAATTAAGCTGGTATTGAAAGAAAAACGTCTTATTAAGGTTTATTTTTGGTTTTGGATTTATGCAAGGTTATGATTTAAAGTCCAGTATGTATCTTGCAAGAACACAGCTTGGAGCCTGTTTATCGCAATGAAGACCTCCAGTATGGTATTTCCGAATTGGGGTGGGGGAAAGGCACCGCTAACAATTTTATAAGTACTAAACTTACAAAATTTAGAATTTCTATCAGATTCTGGATTTGTTTATTTCATTTAAAAGGCTTGATATAAAAAAATTGGCTAGTTGCAGATGCCAATATCACAGGAAACATTGCCAAATAATGTAAGAGAGTCATAATTCATTGCAGTACAACTTAGGCTTTATGAAAATGCATTTTCCTTGGCTTTATAAGGAAAGAGAAATGCAATCAGTTCTGGTGTGTAAGAAGCAATATAGTCTCATTATTAAGAATTCAGGCTTTGGAATCTAAATTCTTGGGCTCCAAGTCCAAGCTGAATGAACTCTTTACCACACCATGTTTCATCATCTCTAATAGGAAGCTAAAGCTGGTATCTGCCACATGGGGTTGTTGTGAAGAATGTTAAGAGTTGAGGATTAGAGTTATCTGACTAGAGTCTACAGCTAAATAGATGTTCAACAAACAGTTTTTATGGGTTTCTTTGAACTTTTTGTGAAAAGTATTCACTGAAAACCAATTCAAGATCTAAAACCAGAAAGAGGTACCCATAAAGAAGAGATGTTTTTAGAAGGTCATGTAGATATGCAAAAGGAAAAGGAAAAAATAAGTTTTAAAAATTACTATAAATTATGAAAAATTATGCATAAGATTTTTAATGTGAGCTCAGAAAGGTACAATATCCTGACTATGGGTTTAGGAAATCTGCAGTGATCACCTCACTTTGCAGTCTAAGGTGATGCCCAAGACTGGAGCCAGCCAGCTTTGGAGCCTAGCTTACCTGGGTACTAATTCTAACCTGGCTGTTTACTTTGTAGCCTTGTACAAATTGCCTAATGTGTCTAAGATCCAATTTCCTTTTCCTTTTCTGTGAAATGGGAATTATAATACATGTAATAACCCATCAATAATGCAATTCACTATTTTTATCATATAGAGGACAGAGGAGTCACTAGGAGTGAAGGCATAGGTGGGTAAACACAGAAGAAATAGGTCGAAAAATGTCACATTTTCCAGTTATACTTTCTATCACTTGTCAAGAATTAATTAATTCCACATGCATTTGTTTAATTGTTTCTGTGTGCTAAGAGCTTGACTAATTGTTTCCATAGATGATCTCATTTGACAGCTCACATTCTCCTTGTGAGGTTAAGATTGTGATCTTCATTTTACAAATGATATCACTTAGATCCAGAGAAGTTATGACTAGGCCAAGGTGGTTGGAAAATGAATGGTATTGTTGGAATTAGAATTCAGGCCTCTGCAATTCCAAAGTCCATGCTTGTATTGGGGAACATCTTTTCATATGCTAGATCTAGGACATGTCCCACTGGGGGGAACTCCTGAAGATGTCAGGGTATCTTTATTTCTTTTCTTAAAATGACATCAAAGTCTTATAGTATTCATATTCTATATGTTATTCCTTCTATTTTGTAAGAACTATCAACAGTGCTGATTATATAGTAGATGCTTGATAAATCCTCCTTAATTCAGTAAAAGAAATGAGAAACAATAGTCAGAATAATGAGTGCTATAAAGTAGTGACTGTTTCAAATACATATATACTGTGCATATACTTCTTCATACATGTATTATTTATTTAATGTTTATTGAACATTTGCTATATGTTAAACATAATTCTAAGCACTGTGGTACATTTATAAACAAAGTGTACAAATGGCCTTGGTCCTATGGCTGAGGAACCAGGCAATAAGCCAGGTAAATTAATAAATTGCAGAGAATGTTAGAAGGTGAGGAGGTTATGAAGAACAAGAAAGTGGGTAGGTCATCAGGGAAGAGCTCATTGAGAAGGACCTGAAGAGAGATGAAGGAGGGAGCACACTCATAGACGATAGAAGAGAGGCAGAGTGAGGCACCGGGACACAGACCTGGAGGTAGGAGGAGATGGCCCAGAAAAATGTGCTAAATTTAGTGAAACTATTGAGATGATTCATGAAGACCCAGAGAAACTTGCAGGGAAATAAGATATCATAGGTGGCTTGGAGGTTGCATCAGGAAATGTAAGTGACTTTAATTCTCTAGACTAGGTTAAAATTGCAGATCTCAGTTTACCACTGTCACCTTTAGTTGAACTTGCTCAACATTGATTTAGATAGTGATTGACTTGGATTTGAAAACTAGTGCTGTTCCTAAGTTCTTCTATGTACTTCAAAAACCTAGGATATTCCTGACTATGACTACCTCATAAATATGTGTACTCTGAGTCAGCAGTCGTATGTTCAAATTATCCTCCTCAGTGAGTGATATCACTCAAGGGAGCCTCATAGAAGATGATCTTTTGCTCACAGCTTCTAATTGTACCAGCCTGATTTGTAATTCCTTTCATCTACAGTGTTCTGAGCCTTACCATGCCCCCCTCTCTCTCTAAAACCTCCTCCTTGACATAGTCCTTTATTTACAAGCCTACCTTCAAGTTTTGATATCAGAATGTTTCTATACCTTTGACCAAAGGTGAGTTTTACTTCTTTTGAACTGGGATAGCTTCTCCTAGCTAACACTTCTCTCTCATCATTTGATTTATAGCTATTTGTGCATTTCTTACAAACTTCCTAATTTTGAGCTTTCAAGGTGCTAAGTCTATGTCTATTTTTTTTGAATTGGGTTTCACTCTGTTGCCCAGGCTGGAGCACAGAAGTGCACCAGCATGACTACGGCCCACTGCAGCTTTGACCTCCTGGGCTCAGGCAATTCTTCTACCTTAGCCTCCTGAGTAGCTGGGACCATGGGTGTGCACCACCACACTCAGTTAATTTTTTTTTTTTTTTTTTTGTAGAGACAGTGGCTTGCTATGTTGCCTAGGCTGGTCTCAAACCCCTGGGCTCAAGCAGTTCTCCTGCCTTGGCCTCTCAAAGTGCTGGTACTACAGGCATGAGTCACTGTGCTTGGCCTGCTCATTTTTATTTTTATCTGTTTCTTGGGAAATGTATGGGGTATAGACAGTTACCAACCATTATTTGTTGAACTTAGTTGAAATTCCTGTGAATTGTCATATATTTATCAGTAGCATCAATTTTAATATTATTAGTATTTTAATAAGAGCTTTCTTATTTGTAATAATATTTTATTCCATATACCTGAAATAAGAGTTTTTTTCACTTGAAAAACATCTTAAAATAAATTTTATCTTCATCAACTTCTTTGTTATATTAGATAGCATACACTTGACTAAGTAAAGCAGAAACAATATGGACACCAGAATGTTGACATTCATATCAGGGTTCTGTAATATTTTCCTTGGATATATTATCCATGATTTTAGTAGAGAGCACAAAATTAAATATTTTTTAAAACAGTATCTTCACAGAAATAATATAGATAGACCTTAAAATGTGCAAGTGAAACATCTTTGCTTTTGACTTCTGTTCTACAATTAGTTCACTGACTAATTTCCAGAGCTCCTTGGACACCAGCTGTTTTTTATTCTTCCTAAGGGCAGCTTAAACCATGACTCTAAACCACAAACCACACTAGTTTCTTAGAATAAGAATTATCTCCAAAAGAATGAAATTGCAAGACCCACACATAGAGTAAAATTTGTAAGATACTCTCTGAATTCAAGTCAATTGAATAAATTAATTTAGAAACTTTGAGTTTTCTCCATGAGAGAAGGGGATCCAAAAACAACAAAAATCTTTGTCTTTAAAGTATAAACAATGCAGTAAAAACAAAACAAATGGGGGGAAAACCACTAAGCATATAATTCAGTATAATACACTGCTGCATAAGATTGATGTAATAAAAGAGCTATGGACGAATACCGTGGAGGAGTCAAAGAAGGAAGTGATAATCGCTAGTTGGCAAATCATGAAAGGCTCCTTGTAGGAGGAGTATTTGAGACAAATGTCCAGGAAGGGGCAGGGTTGGCTGTTACACCAGGCAAAGAAAGGCATGAACAAAATTACCAGGAGAGAAAAGCCATTATACTTTAGCCATGTTTTTGAGATGTTTGGGAATAGATTGAGAATTCCTTAAAAGCAATTAGGGAGACTGTGAAGGTTTTAGAGCAGGGTCAGAGGTGCGTTATAGAAAAATGGTCCTGGCAATTGAA